AACTGGAAAATTGCTCAAATGAACTTTAGTCATTACCTGACATTCTGTGCTGGTGAGAGCAGAGATTTTGAAAGTAGAATTGTGTTTCAGTCTTGAACCACATTTGTAATTTCTTTCTGCCTCTGCTAGAGTCTGACAGTGAACTCAGTTACTTTCGCCACCATTATGAATACTGATTGCAGTTACTTAGTGTTCACTGAGAGCTGCTGAATGTGCCCGAGGACCCACGCACCTTGTAACATTCAATCTGCACAATACACCTACGAGGCAGGTGTTCTTATTGCCATTTTACTCTAGCTGGGAGACCGAGTCCACTGCTCTAAGTCATGATTCCAGTTTATCGGGACATGAGGAGGACTAACGATCATCATGGTCAACCTCCATAATGATCATGGTGAAGCCTCCATAAAGAGCAGCCATTACAATGGCAGTGATAATGCCAGAGTGCTTGGGGTGCATAATATGACGAGTATACAGCACCTTACTAGGAGCGGGTTTATGAGGTCAATTTTCTTCCTGAGAGCAAAGACAGTGTAAAAGTTATCTCTGCTGGATGGAAGAGGAAACTTAAGTATGTAATGTGTGGAATGTGATTACATTATCCTCAAATTAAAACTGCTTTTTCTTGAATATACCTTCAACAGTTCATCTATGGGGGGTGTAGAAATGTAGGGAATGAGATACAGACTAAGATATAGTTCTTCAATTTACATAATCAGTGTTTTGATGTGCTACATGCTTGAATATTACAAAGAACAGGATGAAACAGTCTTCTACGTGCTTCCCTTAAGAGAAATACATTGCTATCTGTTGTTTGGCCTTTGGGTTGCATGTCCCATCCCGCAATGTTTCAGTGGAGAGCTGCCAGAAGGGAATAATAACACCAGCAGTGTGATCTGCTGACACGAAGGACAGAATACGCTTCCAGCCTAGACTTGGCTTCTTGCCTTTTGTTGAGGCACCAAGCAGCCAGCCTTACTCCAGCCTCCGGGAGATACTCACTTACATTAACACTACTTAAGTCTGTCCATATTCTGTGCTTCCTTCAAGCCTTTTGTCTCTTACATTTCACCTCTCTTTGTTGTCCCTGAGACAGAGGGAATAGGGAGTACTACGTAACTGGGGTCAACATAAATATGCTTCAGGGCAGTTTCAAACCTAACTCCTGGCCATTCCCGATGAAACAGAGGCCCAGATTTCTGAGGCTCAAAGTAGATTAGAATGTAAATATTACCAAAGAGAGCTAGCAAAGCAGCTTCCAATTACCAGCTATTTGCTATAGTAAGAGAATACATTCAGCACAGAACTATAATATATAGCTACAGAATGTTCATGGTGTTAAAAATGGACACTGTGTTTCAGGTGGTATGGGTAAACTGTAGGTCCTAAAATCACGTAGACTGGTGAATATTTACTTTTTAGTCCTCAGAATATGTCTCTGAGGGTGTAAGTATAATTTTATTTCAAAATGGACTGTTGCAGTAAAAACTGGGGAGTGTTATAACATACGAATCAAGGCTTCCCATTTCTCATTTTTTTTGTGTGTGTTAACTTGCTAGGTGCCATCAGTCCATTCTCCAGTATCAGTTAGGAACTCCCTGTTCCTGCTTAGAGGATGGGAGAGAAATCTCTACTAGCCATTTATGTGGCAGATGACTAATATGAAGAATATATAAAGAACTCAAAGCCCATAGCAACAAAAGAACAAGTAATCCAATCAACAAATGAGCAAACTGTCTGAACAGACACTTCTCAAGAGAAATACATCTGGCGAACAAATATAACAAAATCAAAATTATACCAGTAGTCCTTCTTACTCCAGTCAGATGACTGTTACCAACAGACAAAGGATAACTGTTGGCAAGGATGCAGAGGAAAAGGAACAGTTATGTACTGGGAATGGGTACCAATTTAGACATTACAGAAAACACAGAGGTTCCCCATGAAACTAAAAATAGAACTACCATTTGATGCAGCTGTACCACCCCTGGGTATACCAGATGGAATCTTATCCATACTCAATAGAGATACCTACACATCCATTTTTCATTGTCATGCTATTATTCATAGTAGCCAGGATGTGGAATCAGCCTTGGTGTCTATCAACAAATGAATGGATAAAGAAAAGATTAGCACACACACACATACACACACACACAGACACACACACACACACACACACACACACACACACACACACAAAGCACCCCCCCCCCACACACACATACAAACACACAGGTCACACTGGAGTTTTATGTAGCCATAAAAATGAACAACTTGTTATTTGCTAGAAAATGTATGGAACTAGAGGTCATCATGCTAAGTGAAATAAGCCAGACTTAGAAATAAATATATCTATCATATGTGGAATCTAAAATAAAAAAAAAATTAAAAATTTTAAGATGGCCTGAAAGTGGGAGGACTGTTAGGAAGGGATGAGCAGTTGTGGGAGAGGGAGGAAGAGGAGAGGTTAAGAGTGTGGTGGGGAAGGTAGAGACAGGCAAAGTGCAATGTGCATAAATAGAGGCAGCTGCAAAGCCATCAATAGCTATATTTAATAGCAATTATCACTTTCAAATGAATGATTGGTCTGAAAATAACCTAACTTCTGTAACGAAGACCAATGAACAGATCCTTGTGGTGGTTAATCCCAGGGAGTGGTGATAGAAAGCAGAAAGATATATAAGGCGTGAGGAGCAGACACTGGAAGCTTTTAGCTGGTTAAGCTTCAGGCTTTCGAGCAGCAGTTCAGCTGAGAGCCATTGGGATGAGGACACAGAAGCTTCCAGTCTGAGGAAACAAGACCAGCTGAGAAGTTGGCCAGGTGAGGTTAGCTGTGGCTTGTTCTGTCTCTCTGACCTTCCAGCGTTCACCCCAATACCTGGCTCCAGGTTTGATTTTATTAATAAGACCTTCTAAGATTCTTGCTATAGATCCTTCTCCCTCTCTATTTGGGTTTTTGAGACAATGTCTCACTATGTAGCTCTGGCTATCCTGGAACTTGTTATATAGAACAGGCTGGCCTTTAATTCGCAGAGATCCATCTACCTCTGCCTCCCAAGTGCTGGGATTAAAGGTATACTTAATTACCCTCAGTTTTGAATTGAGAACATTTTCTTTGAAATTGTAGGATCTTTTAGCTTTGCAATTTAAGTTAATATTAGAAATTCTTTAAAATGACTTGTCATTAGAATATATAATAATCTTGAAATTCTTGTTTTCTTATCAGCTATCCTTCCTACCCTTGATCTAGAATACATAATGAAGAACTCGAGCTCTGAAGCAATGACCATAATGTACTATTACATGTTTAAAAATTAAAGCAGAGAGGCTCAAAATGAGGATGAATCTCAGGGGTAGAGGTTTTACTGTCCACATGTGAGGGTCCATTCTCACTACCATGCATGTGCATGAGAAACACACACACACACACACACACACACACACACACACACACACACACACACACACAGAGGTTAGGTACGGTGGTGCCTGTAATCTCAGCTCCTGGAAGAAGAGGAAGGAGAATCAGGGAGTCAAAGTTAACCTTGGATACATAGTAAGTCTGAAGTCAGCCTGGGCTACATAAGACCCTGTCTCAGCAACAACAGTAGCAAGAGAAACCCAACATTCACTTGTTTTCTTATTCACCCCAACCTGTACTTAAGTCAGCATAGACTCAGATCCACTCTTTTCCCTCACCTGGTGGAAATGGAATCCTTATTTTGTCATCATGGTGAATAGTGAATACAAAGTAAGTTCAGTTCAGTATAAAAACTTAAAAATAGGTAATATTTTTAGTTCAGCCAAATTTCCAGATACCCAACTGTACTGATAGTTTTGGACACTAGATGGCGATATAAGCGCATCACATAATAAACCTTTCCTTAATTGCTCCAGCTTTAAAATCAGGCAATGGAGGCCAGAGAGAGCAAGTTAATGCATTAGTTAAAGCAGCAAAGTCAAATATAATCAGGGGTTGAAAGTGAGCTAATACTCTGAATATATTCAGTAACCCAATGGTTATTGAAAGAAAGGATTGTTACACACACACACACACACACACACACACACACACACACACACACACAATTTAGTCAGCTGTTGAAAGATCTTCAAGCTAATTCATGGTGCAAAAGCTGGCAGTGAGCACACACATTTCTTCAAATGTGTTCAACTTCATTTTTGATTTTCAGCTTTTAAAATAGCAGTTGTTTGGGATGGTGTGTGCCTCACCTGTATTGATGAAAAAGTGCATTCTTATCAGGGCTGTGAGCCCAGGACTTTGGCATTTTAAGGGGAAATGGTGGACTTACTGTAAGCAGTTGGCTAGGCCATTATTGACTGGCAGGCTCAACTGGAAGCACTTCGTTAGTGTATTAGGTTGCCCTGGAAATGCCTTCTTGAAACTCTAATGATGCACTTAACGGAGCCCTCTGGGACAGGGGTAAAACATCTCTTAGCAGGCGTGTCTTCCACGGGAGTCCTCTTGGGATGGGTTGGGATGGGCAGGAACATCCAAAGAGAGTCTCAGTAAGGAGGAAGCCTCAGAACAGGTTGCAGGTAGCAGTTTCTCACAGGTAAGTCAAGATAGTGACTTGCTGCTAAAACTCCAAGCTTTTTGTGCACATTTGAGTAATCATGTTGAGAGAGCATCCTCAGTCGTGTGTGTGTGTGTGTGTGTGTGTGTGTGTGTGTGTGTGTGTGTGTGTGTGTGTGTGTCGCGCGCGCGCGCGTGTGTTGGCCAAAAGAATGAAGGGGGAAGAGCATCTGAATGAATATGACTGTAATCAAAGGCTTAAAAAGAATCCGAAAGACTTGTAACTTGAACATTCCTAGGATTAAAGGGGAAATGGTTTAGAGGAAGAAATGCGCTCTTCTGCAGAGTCATGCATTTGAAGAGCTCATCCGGAGGTTTTTCAAATTAAAATCACTGCCAGTGTGAAGGTTTATGTGTGGGGGGCAGGGGGTTGGAGGTGGGGTTGAAAACAAGGAAGAAAGAGCCCAGAGGTGGCTGTGCAAACTCAAGATCACAGGCGGGACGGGGGTCGGTGCAGCGCAGCGTCCCCGCCCTGCGCCAGCAACCAGCGCCTCCCGTCCAGTGCCCACCGCGGGCGCCACGTCCCCGTCAGCGCTGGCAACCTGTCACCGCCGAGGACGTGACTCCGAGCTGCCTCCGCTCTCTCCAAGCCCTATTCCTTTAAGATGATGTAATAGTCATTTCCCTGGATGGTTTCTTGCCTGCACTGCTCACACAACAGCATCCGAACTGCTCCTGGCACCGTGGGACCTCCTAGCTCCGGAGCTCATCTCCCCGCCGCCCGGGCTTCTTCTCGCTCCCCTACCTGGCGGGGATATGGGCGTCCCTTTGCCCTTGCCGGCAGGTGGGGTGGCTGCTGCGACCCTGGCTGGGCGCATCTGTCTGTCTCTCTGCCTCTGGGCTCTCTGAACGCCTCAAAGTCCAGTTACCTCTTGCAACTCTCCCAGGTGTAAAGGATCTGCTCTAAAGGTTTTGATTTTGATTTTTTTTCTCTTCCTGCCGAAGGTTTGGTTGAATATTTTTTTTTCCTTTGCTTCACTTCTTCGACTCAGCCTCCTTCTCACGGTTCAACTTTTTTTTTTTTTTTCGATCCATTTTAACTAGAGATTTGGGAGTGAATACGTACACACACACATACATATACACAAACGTACTTTTCCGAGCGCGTAAGTGCGGGATCGTTTATTTTCCGAGAGCACACCTCTCTGGCACTTTTCACTGATACCTCTGTCCTTTACCTGTGTGGGATTTGACAAGACCCAGTGTGGCTGTGGTTTCCGATTGCTCTGGAAAAGGTTATTTCTTCGCAAGAACTAAGTCTCCAGCACTCGCTAAGGTAAGCGCAGAGACTCACGGCTTTCTCTGTCCTGCTGAAAAAACGGGTCTCTTTGGAAGTTGAAAATTGCATATGCCGTTTACATCAGATTTACAAACAGGATTGATTTGAACAGCAGTTGATAGTGTCATGAAGATTAACTTAAAGACAGCACAGTCTGAAGGAAGCACTAACTCTGTTAAGGAGTGATTAAAGTCAATAGTTACAGGCTGCTTATGTAAAAATAATCTCCTCCCTGTCATTTTCCTTCCCTCTTCCTCCCCCCACCCCCCCTCCTCTCCCCGGAGGTCTCCCTCTTTCTGACTCATTCTGGGTCTGAAGAAATAATTTCTCTCTTTTCCCTCAGACAGACCTCTGAGTAACTGGGCACTCGGCCTTCTTGCCTACCCGGCCTAATGGAAGATCGAATGTAGACAAGCTGATTATTACATTCTGTGAAGTAGTAGCTCATGACCAGACAGCTTTAAACTTCCTGTCCAACATTACTTCACCTGTGGACTCTCCTAAAATTTGCTTTGTTGGGGGAATAAAGAGCAAAACCGGGGTAAGAGGAGGTCATTTTTGAACAAGTTAGCACCTTTTCCCTCCCTTACAACTGGATGCAAAGCCTGAGGCTGTGACTCTGTCGTCGGATTGTACCTTTAAGTCCAGGAAGCTGCACAAGAAAGGGACAATGGCTCTGAGTGGGAACTGTAGTCGTTATTATCCTCGGGATCAAGGGGCTGCAGTTCCCAACTCCTTCCCCGAAGTCATAGAGCTGAATGTTGGGGGCCAGGTTTACTTCACCCGCCATTCCACATTAATAAGCATCCCCCATTCCCTCTTGTGGAAAATGTTTTCCCCAAAGAGAGACAACGCTAACGATCTAGCCAAGGACTCCAAGGGAAGGTTTTTCATTGACAGAGATGGCTTCCTGTTCCGTTATATTCTGGACTATCTCAGGGACAGGCAGGTAGTACTGCCTGATCACTTTCCAGAAAGGGGAAGGCTGAAAAGAGAGGCTGAGTATTTCCAGCTCCCTGACCTCGTCAAGCTCCTGGCCCCCGAGGAAGTCAAGCAAAGCCCGGATGAATTCTGTCACAGTGATTTTGAGGATGCCTCCCAAGGAAGCGACACAAGAATCTGCCCCCCTTCTTCACTGCTGCCTCATGACCGCAAGTGGGGTTTTATTACTGTGGGCTACAGGGGATCCTGTACCTTGGGCAGAGAGGGGCAAGCAGATGCCAAGTTTCGGAGAGTTCCCCGGATTTTGGTTTGCGGAAGGATCTCCTTGGCAAAGGAAGTCTTTGGAGAAACTTTGAATGAAAGCAGAGACCCAGACCGAGCCCCAGAAAGATACACCTCCAGATTTTATCTCAAGTTCAAACATCTGGAAAGAGCTTTTGATATGTTGTCAGAGTGTGGATTCCACATGGTGGCCTGTAACTCCTCCGTGACAGCATCTTTTGTCAACCAGTATACAGAGGACAAGATCTGGTCGAGCTATACCGAATACGTCTTCTATCGTAAGTAGGAAGGCTTCTGTTTATTTTTGTGTGTTCGACTTTTCTTCACAGATGTATGTGGTCTCGTCTTTTGCTAGGGTCTAAGGATACTGGTTTGGGATTGCAGCTATGCTAAAACTATGGAGCCCTAGAGGTGGCTGCACTTCAGTTCTTGTGCCTTACCGGGTCCCAGAGAAATCTTTCTTGTTTTTTCCAGTGAGGTCACAGGATAGTTAGACTTCAAAAATTAGAAGGGATCAATGATGCTGGAAGAGTTCGTAAATAAGCATTAGTGACTTTTTTCTATATAGTGGTTTGTGAAGGTAAGGTTGCTGATTACAGCTTGGCTGTGGGTTCTCAGGGTTTGGAGTTTTGCAAAGTCAGTGTGGATGAAGTACCACTGCCAATCCTTTCCGCTAAACTCTTGGGGTCTGTTAAGCGGATTGCTGCAGGCTTGCTTTCATTAGTGGCTTTCAGAACACAAATGGATGTTGTACAGAGTGACGTGGTCTTGGCTAGATGGCAGTACAGACTGCTGAAAAGCCCCCCGTTTCCCCCAGGCCTGAAATTCACTTTTATGGGCTTTGCAAATCTGTTGTTTGGTTCTCTAACATTTTCTACTGAGACCGAAGTTACATTGCAGGTTTAATTAAGCTGAACTTTGTTTAAGATCCACCTAAAATGAACTAGGTCTCTGAGACTTGCCAATCACATGCAAACACCTCAGATACTGAGTTGACAGAATTCCTGACATAAAATAAAATCAGTATGTACATATGAGGGGATGTGATTGTCAGTGCCTTTCAAGTAGGGCTCTCCAAGTCTGTTCTTGTGCTTAAATGGAGACTTATGGTATGGATAGTTTTGTTTTATGGAAGGGTGTTGTGAATACAAGCCATTGGTCTTTGGAGGATGAACAGTAAATTGGTCTATACAATGTGATGCTTGCAGGATTTGGGCTTGGATGTTGAGTTCATTCCACAGAGACTGTGTTCTCAGTGTTAACATTCCATTTCCTTCGGCTGTTTTGAAAGCACCTTCAGAAATCAGGATTAAGATGTCTACATTTGTTTAAATATAAAGGGAAGACTGAGTTTCTTGGACCAGGCTTTGCCTATAGTTGTGTTTCTCCATTTGGAGTTGGTGGAGGTGGAGAAGCCAATGGGATGTGGAGTTTTCCAAAGTGGGTCGTCACATATCTACTCAGAAGTGAGGATGCATAGACTGCATGGACAGGGTGGCCCATGAAGAAAAAATTAAATCAGTCCCAAGAACTTACCGATATGTATGGAATAGCAAACATTATTTGGTCCAGTGGCCTTAATTGTGGTCTTGGCAATCAGTATCTTCGTTTAGGCCAGAGCTTAACCAACAAATATTGCTTTCTTCTGTCTGGCAAAGTTCCTGTGGATACAGAGATAAGATTCTTGATTTTTAAACCTTCTGTAAGGAGCTGACATTGTCTGTCATCCTGTAGAACATACGCCTTCTTCAAACTTTTGGGGAAAATGTGCTTTAAAGATAGGTCAAATGGAGGTTTGTACACTTGACTTTCAATCATTTACCCACCTAAATGATACTTTGGCCATCTCGGTCAGTGGTGTTTCCGCATTCATCAAGGGCTTATCTGTCTGACACTATGTCCTCTTTAGAATGCTCTGGAAATGTTCCAATCTCCTGATCATATAATTGCTGCTTCTTTTGTTGAGCTGTGGAGCAGTAGTTTGCTCTCCGTATCTCTACGGATAGGCTGGCACAAATGCACAGGAGCTTCATACTAACAGTATATATTTTGCAAATCATAGACTTCCCTTTTGTACCCAACATTCAGAGCTAAGTATTAACTCTTCCTCTGTCTTAGGACCAATAAAACTGACAGCTGGCTTTCTAGGGTGCATAACAGCTTCCGTGCAGCTGCTTAGCCATAATTATTTAATTAGAAGCTGCCAACTGTGCCTATATAAGCATTAATTCATCAAGCTGTTGTGCTCCGCTTAATGGGCCGAAACCATGGGAAGTGCTCTAGATCAGGGAGTTGACTGCATGCAAAGATGCTTTTCTCTGAGGAACTAATTTTCTTCCTGAACTTAGTGGTAGTAAATTCACACTACACACACACCCCTTGGATGCAAGGAATTAACTCTAAGCAATCAAAATTTTAATAACTCAGGAATTATGTAAAAGCACATTGCCTGGATCCACATCATATTAACCATTGAACATAAGGAACTAATGCATTGCTTTGGGTGGTTATCGGCCATGGGGAGTGAAGACTGCCCTCCCAACCATTTCCCTGTTTGTCTGTTTTTTCACCCAAGTCTTGCAAGATTAGCATTCCATCTGTCAACAGATTAGATGGATAGCATCATTGCTGCCTTTAACCTTTCATGTGGGCCTAGAACTGATGGTCAGCGTCAGTTAATTCTGAGTGTTTTGTTACCTGGTATCTGCAAATGTTAAGGAGAGACAGAAGAAATGTAAGCTGTCTTGCTCAGTCACTAGAGAATGAGTAGGACAGGGACACAAAAAAGAAGTGTCTGTGATAGAATCAACTCATAAGCTATTCTAGACATTTTTTTACCTTTATTTAAAGCAATGAAAAGGTGCCTTTTCACCCCATCAGCTAAGTCGCACCTCCTTGTTCTTCAAGCAATTCATAAAAGGCAGCACCATAAAGAGCCAACAGTGCTCCCTGGCTCACCTTTAAATAAAGTTTCAATTCAGTAATTTGGAAACCAGAGGCCCAACTGTAATCAAATCACAAGTGCACACACAGAAAGGGACGGGCACTGGGTTTCTAAGGCTTTTTCAAAGACTGTCACACATCTTTTCTGAGCCTCAAGAGTAACTTCAGGTGGATGTCTGAAAGCACAGGGGTTTTTTAAAAACATTCTCATGGAACAACATGACCACAAGTAGAGAGTTTAGTTCAGAAGATAGTATTTGAAGTGTGTGTATACTCTGAGCTCTATTAATTGTACAAATGGCTGCCCATTCACCACCTTTTGTACAAATGACTGCACATGCATATGTTTTAACCTTTATTCTTTTCACTTTGTTTCCTTAAATTTAAAGGGTCACACCAACAAAAGTCTCAAATTTCTTGCATGCATACATACATACATACATACATACATATGCTGTTGATTAAGGAAAGACTGTCAAAAAGTAGATCATGCAACTATTTCCCACTTAGAATTCAATTTTCAGACCACGAACTGAGGAGTGATTGTATCGACTGTGAATAATTTCTGCAATATTGACCACACAACTTCAAATAAAGGATATGCTTGCATAGGAAAACAAGAGGAAGCCGAAATGCATCTACCCCCAATGACGGTAGTGCCTTTTATCTTGTTTATGTGGCAGACACTGGCAATAACTTCAGTTTTTATTCCTCATAGAGACACAGCATTGGCACATTCAGTTGAACCAGAGTGTAGACCAAATCATGGAGTAAAGGATGCTTGTTATCTGTATCTCTTCTTCCTGTGACTTTTTCCTCTGACCTTGTAACTTAGGTGTTTTCTTGTCTCCTTGTCAAAGCTCCTCCAAGTGTCAAGTTCCATCTCCCCACGCTAAAACTAGGGTTTGTTGCCAGGAAAACTTCTGTACTGTTGTTATATATAGAATGCTCTCAAGGTAGGACATTACTTCTCCCAGAAGTATCTGAACATGCGAGAACTTTCCAGAGTTGTGTATCAGGCAGGCTTTTACCCTGAAAGTAATGTTCTTGAGACTCCAGTTTACTTAATTTTTAATTAAAAACAAATCACCATTTATTTTAGTCTAAGGCAATCTGATGAAGTCAGCACAGGTTCAACGCCAGGCAGATATTGGAGGGCCAAGTACAGAGGGGAGGACATCATTTTTTCCTTATTTCTTTAAGATGTTGTGTGCTGAGAAATGGGCTCCATATAATAGTTAAATAAGCATACTAGTAATTCATTTGTATATTGTTTTCACTCCTATTCCAAATAAGATCTGTTGCCTTACTTCAATCCCTGGTGGGAGGTGATTATAATAGGTTATTCCTGGGACTATGACATTACTGAATGAATTCGGCAGCAAGACAAGCGTCAGTGTGTGAGAAGAAAGGGAAGAGGACAGGTCTCTAACATTGCTTTCAAATGTCCTGAAACGTTAAAAATACACATACAATTGGGAAGAAAGGAGCAAGTATTACCCATAGCCTAATGCCACTTAGGTCCTATCAAATAAGTTAGAAATAAAGAGAGCTGTGAGCATACCCAAACACTCCCAACACAGAACACCTAAAAATACATCCACACATAAAGCATAGAGAGAAATGCCTGAGGTACTTCAGGTCCACATTTCTGAAGGCCATTCCCTCAAAACTGATAGACAAGGTCTGCTTCATTACTCACAGCTGCTTTTCTTCTCTGGTTTTTGCTCTAGCTTTTCTTAAATCTCATAGTTCTTGGGTAGTTTGTTAAATTTTTACTGTAGAAATACTTCAAGTGTAAAAAAATGCAGAGGCAGTCTGTGAGACACTTTGATCTAACCAACATCCATCTCTTGATGGTTGTGACTGTTAGCATGAGGTAATCATCCTTCATCTATGCTCTAATTTACCTTACCTTTGGTCTGTTCTGGATAACTTTGGGGTAAACCCCTGGTATTGGTCTTGTGATTCATCCACAGGTACTATAGCCAGTATTTGTACAAAATGAAACTTTAAAAAAATATGCAATACAGTTATTGCACAGAAAATCAATGTCTTCACTATCAAATATCTAGCCAGTGTTCAAATTTTCCTGATTTTTCCTCACATTAACTTAGCTGGTTTGTGTGAATCAGTGTCCATATGAGACACATTTAGTTGATATAGTTTCCTTATATTCTTTCATAATTTAATAACACTGCATGCAACTTCTGTGCAACCAATTGGTTAGGCACTGTTAACCTGTTAGATGTAGGCATTTGAACTGGTCAGTTGAGTTTCAATATTTCCGGTCAGTCTTCTTCATTGTTTATGGCAAGTGAATTTTAATTTATAT